CATCTCATCAATCCTTGACGTCCAGTAAGTTCTTATTATACATCCAAGCCATTTCTCTTTGCATTGTGTCTGTATTAAAATAAAAAATTCTGGTAAAATATTTAAAATATCATATCTATTGTTCTTAATTAAAACCATAAAATTTTGGAAATTATAATTTTTGTTATTCACGCAACAATTAATATGAAATTGCAAAAATAGAAAAAATTACAATGTAAAGAAGACTTACCCAAATATTTGACTGAAATATTTGTAGGAGAAAGTGATCAATTTGATGAGAATTGCAACGTCCACTTGGATTGCGAGACCTTCAATTAGGCACATACCCAAAAAAGACTAATCACTTAAGAATCATTTTTTAATAATTTTTAATGTGCGATGGAAACGGAATGTATCCGTCGCAAATTTTGCGACGGAATTTTCATTTATTCGTCGCAAATTTGCGACGGAATAGAGTATCCGTCACAAAATTGCGACGGATACTCAACTCCGTCGCAAATTTTGCGACGGAATTTTCATTTATTCGTCGCAAATTTGCGACGGAATCAGGTATCCGTCGCAAATTTGCGACGGCACATAGTATCCGTCGCAAATTTGCAACAGAATTTTCATTTATTCGTCGCAAATTTGCGACGAAAACTATTTCCGTCGCAAAACGGCGTGGCCGTTCGGCCTCATCCAAAGGCCGGCGAGGTGTCGCCGGTCGCCGGTCGTTAAACCGGTGATGCAGATACAAAAAAAAAACAAACATAAACATATATTAAAAAAAAAGAAATTACAATGCAATGACGAATAGTCACGAAGCTAGCTATGACACTTACCGGTACAAAAGCTTCACCGAGATTAATATGTGCGTGCGCGGATTTTGCTGATTTCAGACATATGAAAGAGGGAGAAAAACGAGAGAGAGCGAGAGAGAGAGATAGGGTTGGAATATCACGGGCTGATAAACTACGAATTTGCGACGGACGTTGTTTTCGTCGCAAATTTGCGACGGACTTACAATGCCGTCGCAAATTTGCGACGGTTTTATTTTTCGTCGGAAATTTGCGACGAACGTTTTTCCGTCGCAAATTTGCGACGGATTGTATTTTCCGTCGCAAATTTGCGACGGAATTTGCGACGGATTACATTTTCCGTCGCAAATTTCCGACGGAAAATTAATCCGTCGCAAATTTGCAACGGTTTATTTCCGTCGCAAATTTGCGACGGAAAATGTAATCCGTCGCAAATTTGCGACGGAAAAACGTTCGTCGCAAATTTCATGTTTTTTTGTAGTGTGGCCTGAGGCGTATACTATAACGCGGGCCCTGAAGTGTTGTGATAAGTTGGTCGCAGTGGACTTGAGGCGTGTACTGTAACGCGGGTCACTGGCGAGAGTTGTGGAAAAAGATGTGATGAAACGGAAACAAATGCATGAAATGTCATTAGAACATGCATGTGAGTGGAATAGTGCTATTGTAAGACTAACGTGCAGGTTGCGTGTATTGAGAATCCGGTAAGTACGATTGTGTGGACGTTGTTTGTGTATTGCTTGATTCGGTGTCTGGACTTGTCTGGAATACGTGGTAGCCTAGGTAAGGTTTAGGTTGTGAACTTATTGAGAAGTGTCTCATGGTTGTTTCAACCAAACCATTTCAGAGCACCCGCTCGAGCCATGAACCTTCCGCTGCCGTCGCAGCGTTTTGGGATTGTTATGCACTCTGATCATGATGTGGTAGAATTCTCGATCGAGATGGAGGCCGATTCGGAGTCGACGGATGAGCACGTGCCTGATGAGGATTCGGATGAGGATTCCGAAAAGAGTGAGTCAGAGTGGACGCCATCTAGAGGGCGTAGGGATTAGTTTTGGAGCGGAGGAAGAGTTTGGAAGTGTCCCATTTTGGTGTAGCATTACCCAGGCTACTAATCTTTTGTGATAACGATGGTTTGCAGTTTAGTAGTCCAATGTGCATATTTTGCTTTGTGGTTTGTAAATTGGCGGTTGTAGCATACATTTATGTTGTAAATGGATATTGTGCTTAATTCGAGGTATAGTATAAGATTTGGTGGTTTGGCAATTTATTCTCCCTAGTACCCCAGGTAAATTATTGTTTGGGTGTTTGATGTTTCCGCCGCGATTAAACTCTGATGGGTTCGTTTAGGTCGGCGACATTTCCTGGGATGTCACACTAATTCGACCGAAAAGAGGGATGTCGCGTGCTCGATGGGGTTCTGGGCGTGACAGAACTGGTAAATAAAATCCGATCCGTATAAAGAATGCGGAAAAATATGAAAATTATATCCGCGTCAAAGTCACGATCAAGAATAAAGATTGTCACCGCGTTGGAATCAAGATAAGAATGGGAGTCCTTACTTGGATTTTCATTGGGTGCAATACTGTCTTAAAATATATGGAATCTACTTTCCTGATTGAAGTTGGTCAAGAAACTAAAAACAGGGAAAGTCCAACGCAGGCCAAATAGGAGTTAGACTCTGAACATGGAATTCTTTCTCCGTGTTGAAGTCGGTCACTGATGGTTCCCTTTGACATGTGTCCATACAAGTGCGTGTATTAAGGGATGGATGATGGATCCATCTAGATGGCTTTCCAGATGTTGACTTCAAGTCAATCAATGCCCCCAAAACCCAAAGTCCCCCCACTTTGGAAAATAAACAGAAGACCGATGAGTAGGGGCAAAGTGCCTGAAAAGTTTTAAATTTATTATATTTATATCAATTTAATCATAAACCTTTTGACGTAATACCAATTCAGTCATTTCGATTAATTTTGATCACATATTGCTGACTATGATGCCAGCCGGCCTACGTGGCACGGTTGTTAGCATAGGCACGATTGGCGCTGACATAGATAACTTTTAATAATATTTTTAAAATTATTTTTTTCTTTTCTTTCTTTTTTTCTTTTTTTTTTTCTTCCCTTCCTTCTTCCTCCAGCCGGTCGCCGGACCTTAACAACTAGCCAGAGGCCGGGGCCGGTGAGGTCGACCTTGCTTGCTAGTGGCGAGGCTCGCCCATGCTAGATGGCCGCAAGGGTGGCCTCGCGCTGGACTGGCGAGGCTTGAGCTCTTGCCAGAGGCTGCCAAGTTGAAGGTCATGACCTCGCGGCCTCTGGTGAGGGCGAGACTCGCTAGTGGCCAGCGAGGTCGACCTCGCTGGCCCTAGACCAGCTAGAGGAAGAAGGAAGGGACGGAAAAAAAAAGAAGAAGGAGAAGAAAGAAACGAGAAAAAAGGAAAATTAAAAAATAAATTTTAAAAAAACATTAAAATATTATTAAAAATTGTCCATGTCAGTGCCGACCGTGCCACATAGGCCGGCCGGTGTCCACGTCGACAATTCACGAACTTTCTCCTTCTTCTTCGCCTGATTTACAAAGAAAAAGAAAAAAAAAACTGATTTCCGACCCAATTCAAAAACCCAATGCCTTCGTTACCAAATCAAGAAACGTCAACGGAAACAAAACGGAGAACTTCCGTATGTATAGACCTTTCAATTGGGGCAAAGAAAAAGGGCACACTCAGATCCAACCGCACCGCAATATTTATGAGCTAGAAGCCTAGAACTTGGGGAACGGAAGGCGCGAGGGTGACCGAGAGAAGCAGGAGAAAAGAACTCCGTTTGAGTTAGATTGGTGAGGAATGGCAACAACGTCAAAGTTTGCAGTTTTGAGGAGTCACCAGAGGTCAGAATCAGGCATATGGTCTTATCTTTGCATGTATTGTGTACGAGGAGAAATTCATAGGACCGGAGCGCAATTATAACCGTTGATTGAGTGAGACTCGCATGTGTGGGCTCACATAATTAACGATTGCAATCTATCCGGCTTCACTTGCAAGGATGGACCACATTTGAGTGTGTCCACTTATGAAGAGTAAATTCCATTTTTTAGTCAGTAAACTTCAATAGATTTTACAATTAGTCATGCATATTAGTGGACCTAAATCCGTTAATTGTATAAGCTAAATTAATATTCCTTTGCAGTTAACGTACTCTCATTAAAATTTGAATAATTTCTTGATAAATTGCTTATATGACAATCACCCGACATTAGCGTTCAGTCCAAGTCAGCTCAAAGTGAAAAGAAAATTAACATGGGGTATCCACTTAGACTCTATGACACATGCCGGTCATGTCTATATTTTCTACAAAAATTTGCTGAACTCAGATCAAAACACATTAATTGCAAATGTTGAAAATTCAACATACCGGGGGGTTAAAATCAAAGTGCAATGACCTCATCCTAAGATACATAAAACTTCATGATGAGGCTTTCAAAACAAAAGCTAGCTCGAAGTTGGTTTGCTAAGCTCCTGCCTCACGGGTTATGGTTTTAACTTGAAAACTAGTTTTTTAATGCTTCAACTCGTTTCGAGAATTCTCTTCCAGTTATCAAAGCTCTTTCAAAAGCTACAGATGAGTTTTCAAGGTAAATTTTGGTCTGGGTCGCCGCGCCCATCCGAGCTGTGTTCAGGTATGTGCCAACCATCCCAGCTCAACTTGGATGCCGATGTTTATGGAGTTTTGGTCATTGGAAACTTGGAGGGTTGGGTAAGGAACGGGGAATGTGACAAGTGACAAGACGAAGAATATGAGTCTTCTCTTCAGAGAGTGAGATCATTGCTATTGATATCACATGCTTCAAATTATTTCCATCGTCATAATGAAACGCCTAAAGTTTGTTCTGGTCTTAAGACGATGAGGACACGCTCATATGTTTCGGTGATTTCTGTTTGGCTAGAATATTTATTAGACACTGGCAACACATTTTGTATTCATCAAACAAGTTCTATCGTGATAAGAAATGAATGAACGAGAGAAGGAAAAATTTTGGCAAAAGAAGAGTAATCAAAGTGGCATAGTTTGGAAATAGCTGCTCTGTAGATCCATTCCCCATCAGAAAAAACACAAACAGCACAAGTTGCATGATCAGAATTGGGATAGACTAGTTATGCTAAAACATTATTGCAAAGTTCCTGCCTCACATATCAATCGTCCAGATCTGTTTCTCAATTTAATGCATACGAGGAAGCTGAATCTAAAAGTCTTTTCTTCTCCGAACTGTCATTTTTTTTTGTTCCCAAACAGAGCATTTGCTTATTTAGGTTGAAGCTGAAAGAGATACTTGGCTTGACTGCAACATCACTCATCTTGAACTGCCTCGCACAGCTTCCGCGATACATAGCGATTCCTAGTGAAGCTGTAGAAAGAAACCAAGCACTTCCCTGAGTTAGAAAGCCTCGACAAAAGCTAGGATTTGCAAGGGGAAAAACATAAATTTTCAATAAAAAAGGTGACATGTAGGATTTATGTGAATCAACTTCCGCACACCTTTACTGCGTCATATGAACTTCTGAGAACAACTATTCATACATTGAAAAGGCTTGATTATGGATATCAATTGAAAATTGTCGATAGTTGATTAATTTGTATTCGTCTAAATGAGCTTCATACCCACAAAAGAACTGAATATTTGAGAGTGATCTTCTAAAATATCATAACAATTCTCAAGACTCTGCATCATGGGCCATATGCTAGTGCAGTAATCTGTGCAGGTGAGGAATGATAATGAACTATTATCTCCTAACAGAAACGACTGCTTCTCTCCAGTTATACATTTTCAAAGTCCAATTCAGACAATCTTTAAACGGCCTGACTTTCCAGCGCTTCGATTTGGGTCGGGTTTCATCCATGTTCTCAAACTCGAGACAAATTTTAGCAAATATTACTAAAAGGTCTCTGCACTGCAGCACACATGCAAGCTCGATACATATACAGGTGAGGAATGACAATCAACTATTGCCTTTTAATGACAATGCCTGATCGATTCTCTATTCTGCTACAGATTAACATGTCTGTTTGCACAAGCATATGCAAAACTAAATATTTAGGACAAGAGAGAGGTTAAGAAATTATCATATCACCTGCGGTAGTTCATCTTGTTCATGTAAACCCAATGCAAAGAGCTTTTCCCTAATCTTTTGCAGTTGATTTGCAACACCGCTGATGCTCATCCTTCTTCCAGGCACTTCATTGGAACAAGCAACTCCAATATTATATACCACAATCAAACACTCTTGAAATATGCCATTACTTTCGGAACGCCAATGCTGAGGATTGTTGGGGTCGAGACAACTCTCTCTTTCTTGAAGTAGAATGTGATCCGTAACTTCTAGTGCTCGTTCAGGCAAAGCTGCCGCGACAAAACTATGGAGAGTCCAATTGTCTCTGAATCTCTCGTTGGTGGGACTCAATCCTGTGACCATCTCTAGCAAGAGAATGCCGTAACTATAGGCATCGCCTTCTCTTGAGACCTCATATCCCATGGCATATTCTGTCACACATTTTGATCATAGTGCAGATTAAATTAGTAGTGCTGATCATCCAAAAGAAGGTGGAGCTCATATCATTATAATAGAAAGTAGAGAGATTACCTGGTGGAGCATAACCGATTGTCCCTCTAAGACCCAGAGAGCTCATCTGATTAGCTACAGTATCAAGGGATGATCCAAGAAGAAATTTTGCCAATCCAAAGTCGCCAACATGTGCGACCATCTCAGCATCTAAGAGAATATTGCTTGGCTTTAGATCACAATGAACAATGGGAATGTGGCACTGGTGATGAAGATAATCCAATACATAAGCAATATCAATAGCAATATTTATCCTGCGAATGAAATTCAACTTTTCCAGAAGCTCATTATGATGAGATAATGTTGCGTTTGGGTGTAGCCACCGTTCTAGGCTTCCATTGTCCATGAATTGATAGACTAAGGCCTTAAAATCATTCCCTTGATAATCACTACCCGAGCAAATTGTTAGTATCTTCAGAAGATTTCGATGTTTGATGTTCCTTAATGCCTCACACTCGACCATAAAGCTCTTCAGAGCACCATGACGGACTAAATCAAGCACCTTCACGGCAACAACAGTTCCATTGTCCTCAAGTATCCCCCTATAAACAGAGCCAAAGCTTCCAACACCGATCAAATTCGTAGAAGCAAAACCGTTGGTTGCGTTTAGGAGTGTTCTATAAGATACGCTTGGACGTGAATCGTCCATCGAACTTGAAATTGGTTCATTTACTTTCTTCTTCAACCAACAAAGATAAATAAAAGCTAGAATAAGAGCTATTCCAAGAACTCCGAAAACAACGGAAACAGACAATATCACTATATTGATGGTTCTCCTCTTGGAGCTTTTGGAGATGCAGTTGGGGAGGTGAAATTCTGGCAGTCCGCCGCAAAGCTCATTGTTCCCAATAATCGAAGTACCAGTAGCATTCTTGAAAACTCCTTCACGTGGTAGCATGCCTTCAAACTTATTGTAAGACAAATTCAAAAGTTTCAAGGAACGAAATTTCGTGAAGAATTCTGGAATTTGACCTGACAAATTATTGCGTGAAATATCTAGTTCTTCAATGCCTCCTAATGATCTGATTGATTGGGGAATGGACCCATGGAAGAAGTTGCCCGCCATCCTTAGTGATGTCAATCCAATGCAATCACCTAAACTTCCTGGGATTTCACCTACCAACAAATTGTCCGAGATATCCAACGCAGTCAAAGTTCTCAAGTTGCCAACTTCTGTCGGTAGAACCCCAGTCAGATGGTTACGAGACAAGTCCAAAATGATCGCTAATGATGAGAGACCTATGAGCTCTGGGGGTATGGCACCACTGAGATTGTTACGAGACAGATCAAGCAGATCGAGAGACCGACAGTTTGATAGATGTGAAGGAATTTGCCCATGAAAGTTGTTCCCATTAAGATCTATTGTAATCAACTTGGTTAGATTTCCCCAAAAAGATGGAATAGTCCCTCCCAAATTGTTATCACTTAATAGCAATCCCGCTAGATTGCGTAGATTCCCCAAATCTGAGGGGATAACACCTGAAAGCGGGTTGATACTCATAGACAATATTTCCAGGTTGACAAAATTCCCAATTTCTTTTGGAATCTCACCAGATATTTGATTCTCTCTAACAGAAAATAGTGTGAGAGCGGCGGATAAATTACCTATGCATTTAGGTAACACCCCACCAAACTCGTTCATCTGAATAGTCAATTCCCATAATTCGGTGCTGTTGGTTAACGAGCAAAGGAAGCTTAAGTCCCCAGGTTTTCCACTTCCAAGCTTATTATCAAAGATTACAAGCCAATGAAGCTTACGCAAATTTTCAAAAGAAGGTACTTTCCCGGAAAATTTGTTCGATGAAAGTTGAAGCACCTCTAGTTTTGTGCAATTTGATATCGACGAGGGAATCGGCCCCTCAAGTTGGTTCTCGTAGACACTAAGATATTCAAGAACTAGGAGTTTGAGGCCTATGCTTGCAGGAAGAGTCCCCACTATCCGATTGCCTCCAATAATTAATGTAGCTAGCGAAGAAAGATTGAGTAACGAAGATGGAATTGTACCTGACAATCTGTTTCTTTCGAGGTTAATGCCTTGCAAGTTTGTCAAGTGGCCTAGAGCTTGGGGAATGCTCCCGCCCAAGTTGTTTCCGGCTAAAAAAAGGATCTCCAATGAAGATAAGTTTCCAATAGAGGAAGGCACACTCCCAATCAAATTATTAACAGACAACGCAAGCTCCCGTAGCTTCGACAGTGAACCGAGCTCTCCAGGAATCTCGCCAGTTAGTTGGTTGCCTTGAAGCAAGAGGCTAACAAGGTCAAGGCAACCCGATATGTTTTTGGGAATTTCACCGACCAATGAATTGTTGTCTAGTTGTAAGTAGCGAAGGCGGTGCAGCTGGCCAACTTGCGCAGGGATTTCATGATCGAGACTGTTATTGTGGAGCCATATTTGCCTTAAGAAGCTGAGATTCCCAATATAAGGAGAGATTGATCCGGAGAGTCCTTGTGATGATAAGTCCAAGACCGTGACCCTCCGGTGCCTCCGGCCACACGTAACGCCATACCACTGGCAAAACCCAATGCTATTATTCCATGAGTCGAGCACGCCGAAAGGATCTCTGGTTATGCCGGCCTTAAATGTGAGCAGTGCGAGTATGTCTGTTTCATTGGTGGTGGACGAGACTTGGTTAAAGCACAATGCAAGAGCGATGCCAAGAAGCAAATGGCTTGATTGAAACTCTGCAAAACTCATGCTTACAAGTTTCATGACTCAAAGCTCAAGGAAGCAGGTGAATATGAAAGCAACGCAAGAAGAAACAGGAGGCAGGATTGGTGCTAATGGATACCGTGAAGAGATTTATAAGAATGTGTTGGTTTTTCTTTTTGACTCAGTAGTCTTGGACCGCTTTTTTTTTTTTACTTAGTGGTCATTAAAGCGCCTTTTCCAAAAAAAAAAAAAACGCCTTTTCCTTTCGATACGTATCGTGGGGTGGAATTCTAGCTTTTCTTCCTCTTTTTTTTTCTTTCACTCAGTAGTTTCTTGCCCCCTTGCCCTGACCAAAAAAAAAAACAAAAAAAGAAAAAGCTTTGCCCCCTTGCAAATTAAAGAGAAATTACTCGCTCACTTATTAATAGATATCTAAATAATAATTGAACGAGGGATGGCAAATTGAGCCTTACCAATAATGCCATGTTCTCGGTATTGTCCAAAAAACCTACCAATAATGCACAAACCATGGATCCACGAGTCTCACAAATTTCGATAGTGATGATTGCACGCGGTTCATAGAATCCGGGCGAGAGTATGCCCAGTATTAAGAGTGGAGATGTATGAGAATCCTCACTGGTTGGGATTAAACTGGAGACTACTGCTTTATGACATAAAATGGAGACTCAAAAGGTCACCGCTTTGATACATCCCAAAGTTATTGCAAAAAAATTAACCTTGCATGATGAGACAGTGTTATGCCAACGAATCTCTGTGCTCCATGGACAAAGCAGAGGCAAAATCCTTCCATTTAAAAGGGGTTCCTCGTGATTGATTTATGCTATGATATCCACTCCCTATCTAATGTACTTCGCATACAGCAAACAGAACCACTCATATTCCAAAGAAGCATGACACAACCAGGAGCCACCCTGAATCACCCTCAACATCAACTTGTTCTTTACGCATTGCTCTTCATTGGACATCATTCATCATTAATTTGGTCAAGACAGACAGGTAGCATGTGAACAAGTCAATATGATTCGATAGACAACTACATGATTACGGCATTGTAAAATGTGTAATCCTGAATTGTCTCTTTCGTTTTAAACTTGTTGAAATGAGCAAATCCCCATTACATTTATATAAAAAAAAAAAGAACTTAAGAACAGAAAATACATACCTCAACCTTAAGCTAGGAGTGGCTGTAGTACCAAGATTACAAAGCATGTATGCAGCGTGTTGGAAGTGGCAGCACCCCAATGAACAAGTAAGCTAGGAGTGGCTGTAGTACCAAGATTACAAAGTAGGTCAAATCGCGCCTCTTTGTAATGCAACTAGACCCATTTGCTTCCATCTCTAATTCCTTCCCTTTTTCTTTTCTTCCACTAGTGATTTGGGCTTGCCGTTATCCTCCAAGTATTTAATGATCGATGATGCTGGAGATGCATTTTGCGGGCAGATTTTATTGTGAATAATTTGACTAAATTGAACGACTTTTATATGCAGATGAGAATAAAACTGCAGAAGATAAACATGATTACATGTTTTTTCTTGCGGACCGTTGACAGTTGCTTGGAGTTAGGGTTCTCCATTAGTAGAAAAGTGGTCTTTCAACCTTAGCAGCGTGGAAGTAAAGAATGCGAAATGTTTACAAGAATTTGAGCAATCCGTTTTTGTGAAATCAGGCACACACGATTACATCACCAGAATTGAGCAAGACTAATTATACTAAACCATTGTTGTACCACCCCTGGCTTGAAATTAACCTTAGAGATATTCTACACGAGAAAGCTGAATCCAAAAACAGTAATTTCTTATTCCAGACTGTCGTATCTGTGTCCCAAAATAGATAAACATTGCTCATTTAGGAAGCTTGTAACTGAATTAACTTTGCTTTGCTGCAACATTTACCGATATTTAATTATTTCGTACATCAAATTGGGGATGGACATTGGAGAGCAATTCCAAGTCAAGCTGCAGAAACCAAATTCTCCTCTGATTTAGGAAACCTCTGAACAAGAAAGCATGAAATATAAAAATTTCCGATAAAAAAAAAGAGACTAGTTAGGAGTTGACAAGAACGAAACCCCACACAATGTCACTTCTTTTCTTTTTGTAAGATGTTTGCGCAATTACTATAGTGAGATCAAGGAAAATCTAAGAACAATTACTTATACAGTGAAGAAGCTTTATCGTGGATATTACTTT